ATATATATATATATATATATAAACTTTATTTTATTAAATAATTAGGACAAAAATACAAAAATATTACATATTCATTTTTATTAATATTTTGCACTAAAAATATCATTTTTACAATATACTTTTATTTTTGTATAAATTAATATATTATTGTATATAATTAATAAATAATACTATTTATTAAGAATTAGGGTTTTTGCCCTAAATAGAAAAATAATTAAAATTGACTTTTTCTTTATTTATTTTTACTTCACAATTAAAAATAATTTTTACATACATAAAAATATTTTGCATAATACCTTTTATTTACATTTATTTATTGTATTATATTCAACTATTGTACATTTAAATATTGCCTATACATTCAATATGGTTGTAATAACTTAGAATTTATTTTCTTGTCAAATATCCCCAATTCAAATTTGTACCCCCTCCCTATATCATGTTGTAATAGCGTAGCATTTAAATTCTCGCACATTTAAAAGCTTCCAATTATGCCATGCTTAGACTTAGGGTTTGTATGCAAAATAAAATTAACAACTAGCTTGACCTAATTCAAAGATAACAATGTATGAAAAACAAATACAATGCACACTTGCACCCTAGGGTTTCAATCCACTTGTTGCCTTCAAAAATGGGCCATGGTTGCATGTTAAGTACTTTGGCAAAACAAAAACAAAACAAAAGATCATTGTCCCTCGATGCCGCTATCTGAGTTGCCTAAACAAAATGATCAAGTCCCTCAAGAAAATTGCCAAAAATACTTGACACAATTGCTATCATGGTCTATACGATGACTCGCGCCTGTCTCGTTAACATCCTAACACAAGGTTGTTTACCAAATACAATGGTGAAGCAACACTGTTAAAAGGGTTAAAAACATAAGAAAGATCTTTGAGTAAAATAGGGGTAGACCAACTCTTAGTTACTTGATAAAACTTGCAAAAAACATCCTTGTTATTTTTCAAAACACACTTCACAACACAATTTCAAAACCCTACTTTCAAACATTGAAAACTTTTCAAAAGACAAAAAAACACCTTTGTATACATTCAAACAAGAATCATTACAAAGGTTGCCACAATGATGGCCTCTTTTCAAAACATCTTTCAAAATCACACACAAGAGCACTATTTCAAACAATTGAAAAGAAAAGCATGTGATCTAAGCAAGTAACTAAGAGCCCATGGATAACCATGGATAGAAAGGGTGCTAATACCTTCCCTTTCTATAATCTACTCCCCGAACCCAAGAAAACATCTCAAAG